AAATCTTTTATAAAGGACCTATAATATGAACAAAGTCCTAGAAAAGAAGAGAGCTTCTTCGCCGTGTTTGGAGTCGGATACTTTTGTACAGCGATTATTTTTGATTCGTCTGTCTCGATTCCTTTCTGAGATATTTTGTAACCTAAATATTTTAATTCAGGGGCTGCAAATTTGCACTTTTCGACATTAACTTTTAGACCGGCCTCATTTAATAAAGAAAACACCTGTCTTAAATCCTGTACATGTTGGTCGAGATTATCACTAGTAATAATGATATCGTCTAAATAGATAAATGTGGACTTTCCAAGAACAGGTCCTTAACACAATGTCCATACATCGCTGAAATGTTGCCGGTGCCCCTGAAAGGCCAAACGGCATACGCAGAAATGCATAAGTGCCAGACTTGGTTATAAAAAGCAGTCTTAGGCACGTCCTCAGGCCTAACCCCTATTTGAAAATAACCAGTCGTTAAGTCTAAAGTCGTCATATATTTGGTAGATGTTATGTTCCTTAGAATTTCTTCAATAATAGGTAACGGATATACCGGATATTTAGTTATGGAGTTTAATTTACGGTAGTCAATTGCGAATCTCCACCTTTTTGGATGTGTCCAATGGATAGTCATTATTTTTCTTACATAAAACCACCGGGCTAGCATAACTACTTGAGATGGGCGTTATGATCTTTTTACGTAGCATATCGGTGATATGCCATTCTATAATTTTTTCCTTATTCTTATCATACCGGTATGGCTTTGTGGCGAACTGGCATTGAATCTCCTGGTGTCAATACTATGGTTAGTAACCTTGAGTAAATCCTGGAATATCACTAAATAACGAAGCAAATTCACTTACCACTTGTCGGATTCTTCGTTGCTCTTCATTAGGCAGGTGGTCAAGATTTAACATCGGCGGTTCAGCCTTTTCTTCTTCTCGAACTGGTTTCATCGTCAGCTTAAGGGACGCTTCATTAAAATCCAGCGTTGCTTGTGCCTCTGAAAGAAAATCTATTCCTAAGATAATATGTGCTTGCAGATTCTTTACTATGAAAAAACATAACCTTTACTTGTTCGTCCTTGATACGGATGTATAGCGGTAATTTACCTATGCACTTACATCTTTCTCCTTGCGCAGCTAACACTGTCGTATTATCCGAATTATATATGCGGTATTTACGAAAATACTTCCTAAAAAAATCTTCTGCCACACAGGAACACTGCGCGCCTGTATCCAGGAGTGCGGTGGCTGGGATATTATTCACCAACACTTCAATCTTCGGAAGAGTCAAATTTTTCACCATTACTGTATTTAACTTGAAGGAAGAGGGGTTTTCGTTGGCCTTCGGATTTCCGCACCCTCCCGTCAGCAGAAATCCGTTTTAGTTTAAATTATTTTTCATTTCCATGCTTTCCTTCTTTTTCCACTGGCCTTGAGACTTTTTTCCTGGACTTGCTATTGAACTGTCGACGTTCGCCGGCTGTTTTTGAATGCTCGGGTTTCCTTGCCCACTGATTCGCTTTGCTTCCGTAGCCGTGTGCTTGACTTTGCTGTGGTCTTGGCGCACCAAATTGGTTTCGTTGTTGATATTGGCGTCTTCTTTCAATGTCCGCCGTTCTTCTACTACTTTCAAACTGGATTGCTAGCTCAAATAACTTTTCCAGTGTAGTCGGATTCCTTAATTCAATAAAGTCTTGCACTTGGGGAAGTAACCTCGGCAAAATCACTTGAATTATCTCAGGATCCGGACGGTTTCCATACAAGAGTTTGAAGACGTGAATTTTTCTTAAAATAAAGCTTGAGAGATTTTTCGATTCTTTGCTGATATATGCTGAAAAGTTCCGTTTCTAATTTCGCACGATCCCTTACGACAGGGAAGGCTTTTACTAGGGCAGTCTTGAAATTTTCGTAAGTATAGGTGGGACTTCCTGCTTGACCCAAGAGACTTCTGCCTATACATTTGAACCAGTTAAGCGCTTGGCCCCTCAAAGCGCTGGTAACTAAGGTAACTTTTTGAAACTCGTGCACAGGGTAGAGCATGAAGTGGTCATCCAATTTTTCCAAAAAACTGGTTACCGGTGAGTTTCCATTAAATGTTGCTTCTGGTTTCATCGAAGCGCGCATGGTCTGGACGATGTAACCAAATCCTTCCAGGGCGGCAGTAACGTAAGAATATAAAATATTTAACTAAACTCTAACTTAACTTTGGAATAATAAACATGGAAGATTGGCCTTATATTAACAGGAAGCCGTTTGTAGTACAGAGAACTGTTAACACTACAATACGTTTAAAATTATCACGAGGATTAAACCTCTGGCCTGGAAGGCAACCAGCAACCGAGTAAAACTTCTGAGGCAAGCGGCCTGCTTCGACTAACTCCTTCCTCTCTCTCGCTTGGCAAAAAGACACAACTTAAGTACTTGGCGTTCGCCAGACAAACTTTGCATAAATAAGTTAACGCTTTTAATTCTGGCCGGAAGTAGAAAATAAGAAGTGATAGTAAAGATTTAAAATAAAATAAACGTTAGTAAAACTTAAGATCCTTACAACATCGCCAGAATAAACGTCTCTTTTCCATTAATAATCGCCTTACTTATTTACGGCTCGAAATACTTTTTTCACTGCGGACATGAGAGCCGCAAATGCGAAGACAATCGCACTGAAAACATCAGAAGTGTTTTCACTTTTGAATTTCTTTCACGTTTTACTGGTCATGTGGTTTATGCGAGTTATTTGATAATTTTTAAGGAAACCGTTGCTTTTTTCCTCCCTCTTTCTGAATTAGTTGGGTCTCATGACCTGAAAATCTTAGTAGCGAATGCATTTTTCTTGAAATCCTGCCTCACAATTTCGAAATTATCTAGCGTCTCCTTAACATTAGCGGTATTAGAAATATCGATTTACTAACAACAAACAGCATTTTACGTAATAATTTAACATAACACTAACTTCTCTGAAATTTCTATGCCTTTAATTTCCTTGTAAAGTGATATTCTTTCCTGTGAGATCCTGTTAACCTTTTTCCTTATGAAATATTGAAGGAGAATGCGATGAAATGCCCAATAGAGCATTTAACATAAGCTGTATATTTCACTGGCCCAACTATAAGAATCTTTTCTCTAAATTGCCTTCTGAAAAACATACGTGTCTTATATCAGCAACCTGAAATTTAAATAATATGTTAATAGCAGTGCGATCTTTGTCATTCCTAAATTATGCCGCCCAGTGTGGCCGTACCATTTGCATCGATTCTGAGAAGGCATTCGCTGTATTAGTACACGCTAGAAAATTGAAAGCAATGGTGCTACTTTCGTAGACGGTTGCACAGATTTTGGCGATTTCTTTTTTGGCGAGCGATACGACTTATCGTAAACCCATAGCTCGACAAGTTATTTATGGTAACCGATACTTTGTTGTCATTTTATTTAAAAATAATGCGTTTTATTATGCATAAATTCCGTGTTTAAAATATTAGTTATGGCTTCTAAATATTAAAAATCAATTAAATTTTGTAATTTAATTTTATTAATTATTAAATTTATTTAATTTTGCAATTTAATTTTATTTGAAGTAAAAATTTTATTGTTTATGATATTTTATATAAATTTATGTTTTGGGTGATGTAATCAGTGACGTCACCTTGCTTTAAAAGTAATTGGTTTTAATATCTATAACTTTAATCTAATGTTTTAAGCATTATTTATGGCTGTTAAATATTAAAATACAATTTAATTTTGCATTTTTAAAATGATTTTATTATGTATGATTATTTAAATAATTTTAATTCTATGCGTGATGTAATCAGCTCCCTGATTGTTTACAGAATATTTGTGCATTAACGAGCTGTAACCCTGATAGGTTACTGAATATTTGTGCATTACCGCGCCATTTTAAAATTTTATTATTCATCTTTTCGAATTCCTTAGATTTCATAGGGAACGGATATGTCCCTTTCAAGGATTAATGTTGTTATTGCTAAGTACCAAGAATTATTGGTATCGGAATCAAAAGATTGTCCTTTGAGACCTTATTTTGGCCAACTTGGCTTTCCTAATCAAAGATTTATTTATAAATTGTTACAAGAGTCAGAGGAAATTTATTTAAAATTTTTGGAGGAAACCTCGCTATATAAACCCTATATGTGTGTATATGAATATTCAAGTTTACATGCTTCGTCAATCAAGTGCGAGAAATGTGGTTTACAGATGAAGATCGTTAAAAGAACCGATTCTGAGGACGGCCGTATATGGTATTGTGGTTACGGTGGAAGAAATAACCGCTGTAACGGTAAAAAAAGTATTAAATATTCCTCCTTTTTTACCGGCAGTAAACTTCTAATTGCTGTCATTTTAGCTCTAGTGTACTTATTTACTTATTTTAAAGTATTTGAATTTAAGTAATATTTTAATTCTTTTAAAATTTGGTATGATGGTTTTTAATTCGATATTCAGTTTAAGTAATATTTGAATCCAATTAAACGTTGGCGCAATGTTTTTATAGCTGTGTTTTTATTCTATTTCATAGCTATATGAAAGTAATAATTTAACCCTACTTCAGTATTTTATACTCGCAATAAATGTATTTATTTACATTTGCCTTCCATCTTAAAAAACAACGTTTTCAACAAAAATATTGATCCATTATTTTTAACGATATTTATTGTTTTAAAGTTTCGAATACTTTACTATGCGCAAAATAAGTAAAAACAGTGTTTTTCAAGATGGCTGACGATTGTAAAAACCGCGCCAACAAAGTAAATTGCCAAAAATCCGTGCAACCGTCTACCAAAGTAGCACCGGTTTTATTTCCAAAATTTTCGAAATAAAAAATATATATGTGTATATGAATATTCAAGTTTACATATTGCGATAAGCATTGAACTGAATTTGAAAAATTGATTACATTCTTTTACCATTGTAATTTTTTTTTTTTTTTTAATTTATTCCAAAGATCGGTGCAGTTTGGATTTCTAACTTTATCTTATCATTTTGTTTCTGTTGTAGATTCTCAAACGTGGAAGAAGCATCATGTTCGTGGTTCAGCTGTTCATCAGCCATCTGGACGCAGAGGACACTCAGCTGTCGTTTTCGACGGGGCTATGCATGTTTTCGGTGGATATCAAGATTTGCGCGGCTCATCTTCCGAACTCTGGATGTTTGATTTAGGTAAAATGTTCTTTAAAGTATTATTTTTTAGATATTTAAAAATATTAAAGAAAACGGACGAATGTAAAAACGGGAATCAAAAAATAGTTTACATATGGAAGAGAGATTGCATCACCGAATGCAAATAGGCAACCAAAATTAGCATAAAAGTCACACAACGACTTAAAACCCTCTAAGCGGCAAGGTCGTATATATACGGCCTAGAATATTTTTTGTGATATCTGTAAGAACGTATATATATACATGCATATTAAAATGGGTCAAAGAAATTAAGGCAATATATCAAAAGTGCACAAAATGAAGGCATGAAATACCAGGAGAGTTTTTACATTAAAATCAAAAAAATAGTTTGTTCTCATAGTAGTTTTGGGAAATTTGTGCTTTCTTAGCGAAAACCCTGGTCGCTCAGAGGGTTAAAAAAGGGGTATATGAGACCTATGCGTCATTTTACAAGCAGCAGTAGTTCCGTGTAATCCGAGGTAGCTGAAGACAGCATTTGCACGATGAAATGTGTTGCAGGGCTGTCGGAATGTTGCAAATTAGTGCAAGACGATCCAGTGTTGCGAGAGAGCTGAAAGTGCATCGCAGTGTCAACAGACTATGGAATCATTACCGAAAGGATAAACCCTGTAGAAGACATGGATCTGGACGCCGAAGCATTACCACAACGGCAGATGATCATTTCCTGTTGCTATGTGCAATGCGCCGTAAATCACTAATAGTACGAGAGCTGGCGTCCCATCTATCTGCTGCTGCAGGACGGCCCATATTCCTCCAAACTGTGTCACGGTGACTGTTTGAAGATAGATTGTATGCCCGATGGTTTGTGGTTTGTATTCCTTTGTCCCCACCGTATGTCACAGCGCGGTTGAAATGGGCCCAAGAACATCGCAATCGGACACCATAGCAGTGGTCACGTGTGTAGAACTCTTTGTGTAGAGTCTGGATTTAACATCCAGTACGATTCCCGAAGTGCAATGACAAGGCGAGAGCCAGGGACACTTTATCAGATGCCAAACATCGTCGAAAGAGACGATTACAAAGGAGGATGCTTACTTGTACGTGTTGTAATAATAACGAACGGGAGCACTGACCTTTATAAGATTCCTGATGATCCTATCACAGCTGTCCGATATCACGACGAAATTCTACACCCTCGTATGCGTCATTTTATTGCTGCAATGTTTACCGACGTGATATTTATTTACGATAACGCCTGCCCGCATACAGCTCGAGTGGTGTGGAATTATCTGAAGAATTACACCATTCCATATCTGGCCTGGCCTGCTGGATTACCGGACCTGAATCCCATAGGGTGTGATATTTTTTTAGCAATTTGAACTCCAATGATGGAACACAGCAATAACTTTTTCATTTTACACTAAAAAAATGGCGGCATGTACATTATTTATTATTCATCTATTTGAACTGCACGAGAGATTAATAACGATATTAAAACTGTTACAAGGGCATATGTGGGACATGTTAGGAAAACGAATAACAGGTCGCAGTGTGCCTCTAGGCATCCTCCACGAGCTCCAACATTCACTTCTCGACATTGAAAATGCAACACCAAGAAGGAGTGATCAGAAATTTATGCAAATTTTAGAGTAGACGCACGTCACTGAGTTATGCGAATGATGTGAAATGCGCAGCTCTCCGACGCACGTGAAGTAAGATATAAGGGAAGGAACGTGTAGAATGGGAAATATTCGTGTCGTTATTTCTGCCAGACGAATTATCGAAGAAAGTTGGTTTTTGTCCCGGAGGATACGTGTAATAGGAGAGAATGCCAGGCCGCCGTCATCGAAGGCACTTCCAGCGGATAGACGATTTTACGAGGGGTATGAAGAAGAAGAAGTGCGGGTTGATCCTTACGTCAAATCGCAGCTGTCAAAATACCCACATGGACGCGATCACGGTGCATCGGCTATGGCGAACATGGTTTGAACAAGGAAATGTGGGAAGAAGGAGGGGTGCAGGTGCAGCCAGAGTGACGTCAGCACTCGTGGATCGACGCATCCGCCGACAAGCTGTGGCGGTCCCGCAAGTGTGCAAGATAGCCTCGATGTTCCCGTGTCGACCAGAACCATTTCCCGTCGATTGGTGAACGTGGCCTGCACTCACGGCATCCGGTAAGAAGACTGCCATTGACCCCACAGCATAGACGCCAACGTTTAGGATGATGCCGGACTGGAATGGCGAAACATCGTGTTCTCAGATGAGTCACACTTCTGTTTATCCGGTGACAGTCGCCGCATACGTGTGGGGCGTCGATGTGGAGACAGATCTAATCCGGCAGTAACTTTGGAACGCCCCACCGCGCTACAACGTGGCATAATGGTTTGGGGCGCTATTGCCTACGATTCCAGGTCACCTCTAGTTTGTATTCAGGGCACTATGACGGCCCAACAATACTTGGATAATGTACTGCGGCCGGTGGCAATCCCCTACCTTCAGGGGCTGCCTAATGCAATTTTTCAGCAGGATAAGAGTGCTCGCATCTGCAACATGCTATGCAAGGTACCGTACTCTCCTGATCTGTCACCAATCGAACATGTGTGGGATGTGATTGGACGCCGTTTGCAGACTCTGCCCCTGCCTCGTTCAGAAGACGAACTGTGGCAAACGGTTGAAAGGGAATGGAGAGCCATCTCTCAGGACACCATCCGCACACTTATTGACTCTATGCCTGGACGGGTTTCCTCGTGCATCGCTGTCCGCGGTGGTCCTACATCCTACTTGAGCCGACGCCGTTCTCACTCTGTATTCTATTGAAATAAAGATCACTTATTGCTGCTTGCTGTCTCTGTCTTTTTTCCAAATTTCATCACTTTCTGACCACTCATTCTTGGTGTTGCATTTTCAATGTCGAGCATTTACTACAGGAATGGACGTTATTGCCACAACAAGTGAGCAAAGACACTTGCCAGCTTGCCTCGCTGTTGTCAAACATGTATTTGAGCTAGAGGGCATCGTACCCGTTATTAGCGCGGTGTTTCCATTGCACATTCTTCCGACCCATTTGTCTTTCGCGATGGTCGTAATATACGTGTTTTTATGTGTCTTTGCTTTATTTTTTGCTGAGTGATCTGGTAATGCCACGCCAACCTCTTGGATCTATTTCATTCATATCCATTAAATAGTTTTTTGTTTTATTCCGGGTCTTTCTTGCTTATTTTTTTAGCAGAAGCGTATACTATTTTGCGGGGTGTTCCATGAGAGGACTGGCATTCTTTTTGAATACATCTTTATTTTGTAAATAAATAGTTGTCGTTTTTATAGCACACAAATGAGATCGATCGTATAGAATATCTTTTTTAATGCATAATTATTATTTTTTAGTAATTGTAATGTACGTACATACTAATTGCTGTAGAAACGTAATACGGAAACATATGTAGATCTTTTCAGGAATACGATCGGAAGTATAGACTCACAGTTGTTGGTCCATCATGTGCCGTGAAATATCTCATACTGAGTGAACGATAAACAGTACAAAAGTTCTAATGGTGTTTTGTAATCATCTGGTAACAAAATGCTGTGTTCCTAGCAGATTAATTCCTTGTTTCTTTAAATTATTTTGTTGAACTGCTTCGAACTGGATGTCCGACAGATATTCTAAAGAACTTCTATTTGAGAAGGCATGTGGAAGACCTATTTAGGATTTGCGGGCAGAACATTACCAAAGTACTATATTGCTTCGATCAAATTGCTTTTTTCTTAGATTCGTCAGGTACCAAAACTTTACCGAGTTATCGATCCATATAGGTTCCGGGCTTACGTTTCCATTGAATTGTTCGTATTGAACCGGTGGCCGAGTACGATTTTTGAACACTGATAATTCGAATCGGCTCCCATTCTTGGAGGGCGGCCTGACTGCATGGACTTCTGTGGTTTTACGATTGCATAACATGAATACGAACGAGTTTCCCTTACAAAGTCCTTCACAAAAACATTTTCATTTTAAGCAAACAGCCTTCTTCTTTGAGATGGCCAACGTGCAGCAATTGTAATAATGCTTTCTTTACTGTCTTATACTAGCTGTGTTCCTCATAGCTAGTATATAGACTTAGATAAGACTGGCAGAATTATATATATATATAAATATATTTTCTCCCCTCCTTACGAAGAGGAACCTGTACCTGTTCCCTCTCAAATCGATAGAGTTTCCATTAAATCTACGCAAAATGTAAGGCAAGAAATTGCCTAATTTTATATTTTACTTTGGCGTGTTTCTCTTCTTTGTTGATGAAGTCTTTAATGTTTTTTCAAGACTTATGCACTGCCTAAGCATAAATCTGCCTGAAGCAGTAGATGTAAATTAGCGTTCAAGAGCGTCTTAGAGCCAGCTGGTTATTTTTTAGAGTAATAATTTTATTCGTGCATGTTTTTTACTTCCTTGTACGAAGTAAAAAGGAAGTATTGTAATCGCGAAAAGTTTCAGGCAGCATATTTCAACGAAAATATCCATTTTGACCGCTATCGAATGCAATTTAATGATGTTTTTGCGTGATATCTGTACGTAAGGATAGAATAAAATGCTCTTTTCCTTCAAGAAAATTATAAAACTGCTTTAAAATTAATTCTGAAGAGAATTTTTCGTGGCGTGTGTACGAACGTACGTACGTACCGTACGTATCTCGCATAACTCAAAAACGAGTAGTCTCAGAACGTTCAAATTTTGTATATAGGGACTGCTATAACATGTAGATGTGCACCTCGTATTTTGGTTGCAATCGGCCGCACCAAACGTATATAAATATATTTATATATCCACTCTGTTACCCGGCTCAGTGATCTCAGTTTATTTACCCTTATATGTTTGTAAATTGTACATTTTTTGCTTTAAAAATGATTGTATTATGTTGATTTTATCTTCCGGTTAAGGTTTTTATGCCTTTAGTAAATCTGTGTGCAATATTTTTAGAGTTATCAACAATTTTAAAGTTGTCTAACTGGCGCTAAGCTCTTTTTTTTTTTTTTTTTTTATTTTATTA